CTTGCCTCAAAAAGTTATCTCTTTGTGAAAAATACATTTCTTACATTAATAAATATATCCTCCCCCACACACATCTGCATTGATTACAAGTATATTTTCTTGAAAAAAAGGGTTACTCTAAAATTCAGGACTCTAAACCTGATGACTCATAATCATCATAAACTAATGCCACACCTTATAAATATGTGAGACAATTTAAAGTAGTGGACAGCTTGTTACCCCTTCAAGTCCTTTAATTTGAATCTTGGCAGCATTTACCTGACATTTGTTTGCCTTGCAAACAGCCACTTTTCCAGTGATCTGTACATTGTGTCACATCCCCAGTTGCTGAGAATCAGTATAGCTCCATTGATTTCAGTGGAAAACCTGGTCAACTTAGTAGTTATAGTGTGCGTGTACATAAACTTGGGACATGCAAAATGGCACACAAATTGTTTATGTATATATGACATTTCCTAACAAATTGAAGTGTCTACAGAACTTGTCAGGCATATCAGTAAGTGCAATACACATTTTTAAAGAAATGAAAAATATTTATAGTATATTACGTAAGAACGTGCATTAAAAGTGTCTTAAAGTTGAAAAGACAACACTAAAATGTAAAACCATTTTATGTATACGTTAGGATACAACCTGGAATTCCTTACTTTTTCCCTCATATAATATTTATCATATACTGTATGGCATAGCAGGTGAACCTCCAATGTGTAGTTATTCAATTTCTTATTCAATGTGTGGCCTCAAATCATCATTGCAACAAATTTATAGCCCTGCTCTGAAGACAGAATTACTTACTGCCTCATGACACTCATCATTACAGCATTGGAATGCATCGTAAATATCAATGCACTTTTTCCATAATACTCTATGGGTCAAGAGAATATAACTATCCTGATTTTATACATAGGGGCTGTGTCTACATGAGATGGTGACTGAACAGTTGTTATTGTTCAGTCATTTAATGCTTGCATACACAAGTACTAAGTGACTGCTCTGTAACCAGTGTTACTGCACAGTAGCATCCTCACACAGCTTCTTGGTGATGCTGACTATGCAGTAGGTCATTATTACTGTGCAGTAGCAGCATGTCATGCTTTCTGCTGTGCAACAGTACTGTTCAGCAGTAATGAACTACTGCACAGTCAACATCTTGTGTAGACACAACCAGGGAACTGAATTCCAGAAAGATAAATTTAAGAATAATTTTGGTTGCCAAATTTGAAATGCCTAAGATCTGACTTTTTTAAATACTTAGCTTTTGATATGATCAAATCACAGCTCCCATTAATTTACTTGCAAATATGAAAACTCAATACTTTTGCAAATCAGATTCAAATGATCAAGTCAGGCACACAGAATACACAAAATCAGGAACATGCAATTAAAAATCACTTTTAAAAAGTTGGGTTGAAGTGATATGCCCAGCATCACACAAAATCTAACTTCCTTAGGCAACATTCAACTGCTTTAATCATAGACTCATAGAATTCATAGAATCATAAAAAGTTAGGGTTGAAGGGACCTCAGGAGGTCATCTAGTTCAACCCCATGCTCAAAGCAGGACCATCCCAAACTAGATCATCTCAGCCAAGGATTTGTCTAGTTGGGTCTTAAAAACCTTCAAGGATGGAGAGCCTACAACCTCTGTTGATAACCTGGTTCAGTGTTATACTACCCTCCTAGTAAGAAATTTCTTCCTAATATATAACTTCTCTTGCTGCATCTTTAGACCATTGCTCCTTGTTCTGTCATCTGCCACCACTGAGAACAGTCTAGCTCCATCCTCTTTTGAACTGCCCTTCAGGTAGTTATAGGCTGCTATTAAATACCCCCTCAGTTTTCTCTTCTGTAGACTAAAGAAGCCCAGTTCCCTCAGCCTCTCCTCACAAGTCATGTGCCCCAGTCCCCTCACCATTTTCATTGCCCTCCTATAGACTCTCTCCAATTCGTCCACATTCTTTCTACAGAGGGGGGCCCAAAACTGAACACAGTACTCCAGATATGGCCTCACCACCGCTGAATAGAGGGAAATAATCATTTCCCTTGTTTTGCTGGCAACACAGCTACTAATGTAGGCCAGTATGCTGTTAGCTTTCCTGGCAACAAGGGCACACTGTTGGCTCCAATTCAGCTTATTGTCCACCATAACCCTCATGTCCTTTTTTGCAGAGCTACTGCCCAGCCAGTCAGCCCCAGCCTGTACCAGTCCATGGAATTGTTCCATCCTAAGTGCAGGACTTTGCACTTGTCCTTGTTGAACCTCATGATATTTGTTTTGGTCCAATCCTCCAATTTGTCTAGGTCTCTCTGAATCTTAGCTCCATCCTCCATCATATCTACTACTCCCCCCAGCTTGGTATCATCTGCAAACTTGCTGAGGGTGCACTTTTGTCATCTCCCAGTGCTTGGATAAAGATATTGAACAAAACTGGCCCCAGGACCAACCCCTGGGGTGCTCCACTTGAAATTGTCTGCCAATTCAGCATTGAGCCATTGATTACTGCCCTCTGAGCCTGATGATCCAGCCAGTTTTCTATCCTCCTTACTGTCCATTCATCCAGCCTGTACTTCCTTAGTTTGCCTGCAAAAATGTTGTTGGACACCATATCAAAAGCCTTGCTAAAATCAAGGTATATCACATCCATTTGTCTCCCTGGATCCACAGAGCCAGTTATCCTATCACAGAAGGCAATCAGGTTTGTCAGGCATGACTTACCCTTAGTGAATTCATGCTGGTGGCTGTTCCTAATCACCTTCTTTTACTCCAAGTGCTTAGGAATTAATTTCTTGAGGATCTGCTCCTTTTTTTTTCCAGGAACTGAGATGAGGCTGTTTGGTCTGTAGTTTCCTGGATTCTCCTTGTTCCCTTTCTTAAGGATGGGAACTACATTTTCCCTTTTCCAGTTTCTAAACTCTGCTGCCAGATGCATTAGTCTGGGAACTGACCTTCCCTGTGAAGACTGAGGTGAAAAAGGCTTGAAATACTTTGGTCTTTTCTGCATTGTCTGCCACTAGGTTACCACCCCATTCAGTAAAGGACCCACAGTTTCCCTCATCTTCCTCTTTTTAGTGACAAACTTGTAAAAACCCTTCTTGTTCCCCTTCACATCCTTTGCCAGCTGCAAGTTGAATTTGCTCTTTGGCCATCCTGACTTAATCCCCACATGCCTGAGCAATATTCTGGCAGGCTTCATGCCCTCAAAAGAGGCTACCATTACTGCAAGTTTCATCAGAACACCAACTCTTCTCTAGATGTTTAACCCAGTTTCCACTTCCTATAAGCTTCCTTTTTGTGATTTATTTTACTTAAGAGTTCCCTGCTAAGCCAAACTGGTCCTCTGACATAATTTCTAGTTTTCCTGCACTTCAGAATGGTTTGTTCCTACACTATCAGTAAGGCCTCTTTAAAGTACATCCAGCTCTCCTGGATGCTTCTTCCCCTCAAACTGGCTTCCCAGGGGATCCTTCCCATGAATTCCTCAAGCGAGTCAAAGTCTGCTTTTCTGAAGTCCAGAGTCCTTACTCTGCTGCTCTCCATCCTTCTTTCCTTGGAATCCTGAACTCAATCATCTCATGGTCGCTGCTGCCCAAGTTACCATTTACTAGTACATTCCCCACCAATTCTTCACTGCTTGCGAGCAGGAGGTCAAGAGAAGTGAAGCCCCCAGTTGGCTGCTCCAGCACTTACACCAGGAAGTTGTCCCAACACTCTCCAAAAACTTCCTTGATTGCCTGCACACTACTGTATTGCCTTCCCAGCATATGTCAGGGTGATTGAAGTCCCCCAGGAGAATGACGGTCTGTAACCATAAGAGCTTCTTTTCTCTCTCTAGAATCCCATATCTCATTCATTTCACAACTGCCAACTTCTCCAACAAGTAAAGTAAGTATGATACTACAGGCATCAGACTCTCTGCTGTTATATCTTGATTCATCTCTCAAGCAATCTAATCCATCAAGGGTGTATCTACATGTGCAATTAATGCACCTGAATTTTCTGAAGTGAACTTGCTGCACCATGCCCCTGGATGTCTCTGACCCCTGCCCTCATAGCTGTGGCAGGGAGCTCTGAGTGGTTGCTCTGTAGTACAGAGCCTACAGCCTTCCCTTCCCTGGGAGCCAGGGCTTGAGCACTAGGCTGAGCTAACCCACAGCCCCAGCCTCGCCTGGCCCCGTTGTCCCAGCCTTGGGAGGGAGCAAGGCAGAGACTCTTGAGCCCCATCCATGGTGGTGCTGGTGTGATTGGAGCCTTAAGAAAGACATATGGGGCTGGCAGGTCCCCATTTGGCACACCACAGCACCCCCCCAGGCACCCCATCTTTCTTTGTCAGTGGGGATATGTGTATTCCTCTGGTCCTGGCATTGCTCAGTTTCTGCCTCCCCCAGCACTGGGCAGGAGCTGGGGTGTGGGCTGGGGGATCCCAACTCATTACTGCCCTCTCTTTGGCCTTGGGGAGCAGAGTGACTCAGAGGCACAGAGGCCCCAGGCTAGTGCTGCTGAGCTGGGCTGCAATCCTGAACTCCATACAGTAGGGAGCTGTCCCCAACTCCAGGACATCTCCACCCACTCCCTGGAGCTCAGTAGCTGTGGCCCCCTGCTACCTTGGCTAATGAGGAGCAAATTGCTCCCAGCCAACGTCTACATGTGCTTTATGGTACATTAAACTAATGTGACATATTCTAGTAATTGTCTCTGTCAGTGCCAGTATATGGCACATTATATTAATCTAATGTGCAGTAAGTGCCACATACATGTAGATGGTGATGCTTTACTGTGCATTAGATTAGTCTAATGTGTAGTAAAGCATCTAGCATAAATGTGTCCCAGATGTGGAAGGGATCCTCTCTACATGATGATGTAATTAATGACTATGCCATGAATATGTATGTAGAGGACTGAATCAAGTTCATGCAGACAACATCAATTCTAGCATTCCTTAAATATTCAGTGCTTGACTTTGCATCTTTAGCATTTTTACATAAGTTTTTGACTATTTTGGCTGTCATTTCCCAGGTTTTATAAGAAGCAAACTGGAAACCAAACAAAAGTGAAAAACAAAACAAGGTAAACATTCATAGAATCATAGAAAGTTATATGGAATGGTATTGATATGTACAAGGTTTTATAGATGGGATGAAATCTTTATATCCTGATGTCTACCACCTGAGCTTACAGAATCACTTGTAACAGTGGCAGATTGTCTTCCTTTGTGGAGACCACTCATTAGAGGGAAATAATACATGCCCTGTCGGTATGTTATGCTGACATCTCTGAGAAATGGTGAGACAAAAGAATCTGCAGTTATACTGGAAGAGAATGTTCTTTAGAAATAGAATATTTTTCTGTCCCGAATAATCTCAAAATCTGACTGTTTCTGTGCCTGCCCCACTCCTTCTTGCTTCTTCCTGTTCCTGTCTTCACCACCTAAACTACAGTATCAGTCACCCTCTAATTCTTCATTCAGTCTCTTTTTCATCTGATTCTATGGTTCCAGGTTCCTCACTCCTCCCACTTCCTCCTCCCTCCTTGAACACTTTGTCCCTATTTATTACTTCCTGTGTCAATTACTCCCTCAGGTCTGGAGCTCTTCTGAAGTGAGTTATTTTTAAAGGTTTATAACTTGGCCAAATATGGATTATGGCATTTTTAATCTTCTCCCTAGAGCTGGCAAAGGATCCATTCCTGACACTGAGGTGGATTTCAAGTTCTTGTCTCAAAGCAGAGGTATCCTCAAGGAAATGGCTGTACATTTTCTAAATTTTACTATGAGCAAAGGATGTTTTATTTTCTAATTTCATTCTCAGAAATGGAGAAATAATTTTTGCTGAAAATATCCAATTGCATTTAATGTAAAGCCAACACCTAGCATGGAAATTTCACTCTGAAATTTGAGTGAAATGGGAAAAGTTATGAGCAACTGAAAACAATTGTCTTATAATTAGGGACCTACCAAATTCATGATTTCATGATTTTCACAGAACCCCATGAAAACCTGGTCCCTGTGAAAAAGGCACAAAATTGTCAAGCAAGTCCAAAAAAAGAGAGCTGCAAACAGAAAAAGGTGGGAAGCTGTGGCACCAACTTACTTATGAGTAAATTACTCACAAGTAAATGGTGCCAGGTGGGCATCTACACATGTTGGGTAGTGGAAGCAGATTTACTGGCAATGGCAGTAAAAGGTTCTGGCTCCAGCTGCCAGTGTCTGGCAGCCATCTTCAAAAGTGAGATTTACTGGCTGCTCTCAGATCAGCCACTTCTCTGGCCAGGATCAGCATGAGTAGTGCACGGACAGGATGTGGCAAAGCTCTCCTGGTCACCTCTGCCTCCCTACACCATGGCTGCCCCTGCCCCTGGCAGTAATGACCTGGCCATTGTGCTGTCTCTGCTGGCCTGCTGCACCAACCACTGGCTGGTTCATGGCCATTTTCAACCCTCCTGGCTCCCCCATGCCTTCCTGCCCAGCCACACTGTGCCTTCCCAGGACAGCCACTGTGCATCTGCCACCTCAACCCAATCCTCCTGGTCAGACTTCATCAGGGACTCCAATGACATATTCCAGGATGCCACCACTGGGGCTGCTGTCACTCTCCTGGGCCTTCAGCCCCATCACCTCTGGGCCCACTGGGCCAGCCAGGACTAGTGCCTGCACATCATCCAGCAGACCTGGGATGATGAGCAGTAGCCGGAGGCCTTAGGGATGACCTAGGTCACCTTCCAGGATCTCCTAGAGTGGCTCCAGCCACACCTGGAGCAGCAGAACACCAGCATACAGCTGTCTCTTCCCACAGACACCTGCTCGGCCCTTGCCCTGCTGAAATTGGTCATGCCTGCCAGCCTGCGGTACATCAGCCACTTATATGGTGAGTGGTGGTGGTATTCTGTGCCCTGGGACTCCCCCAGTGCATTAGGGCCCTGGATAGGACACACAGCCCCATCACTTGCCCCATGGTGACCACCCCTACTATAGCCAGAGGGGCTTCACTCCATGATGCTTCAGGCCATTGTGGACCACCATGTCATCTTCATGTATGTAAATGCTGATTGGGCGGGCAGTGCCCATGATGCCTGTATGTTCCATAAGTTTTCCCTGCCAGGCCTGCTGCAGAGCAGCTGCTTCACACTGGGGGTGTCAGACATGCAGCTGGGTACTGTGGTGGTCCCATACTTTCTCATCGGTGACCCTGCCTACCTACTTCTGCCCTGGCTTATGAGGACCTATACTGGCTAGCTGGACCCCTGACTGGCCCACTTTAACCAGTGCCTGGGCTGGACCCACACCCTGGTGGAGTGTAGTTTTGACTGTCTCAAGGGACACTGGTGGACCCTCACCACTTGCCTCGAGTTTGAGGAGGACAACCTCTCTGGGTCATTGTCACAGCCTGTGTGCTACATGATATCTGCAAGGCCCAAGGGGAGCTCTTCCATGAGGCCAGGGGAGAGAAGGCATGGCAGTGGCAGCAGTGCTCCATCACCTCCGCCCCCACCAAGGACCCAGGAGAGCCATGGGGACCTGGGCATTATATGCAGTAGGCACTGGCTGATCACCACCTCTAGCACTCCCCGCTCTAGCTCACCTGCACCATTGCCACAGATCTGCCCCACCCCCCCTGCCAACCCCCAGCACCATGCTTACTGTAGACCCATCTCATAATAACAAGTTTTTATTCCCCAGAGACCCCCAGCCCCTCCCTCCCCCATAAACAGATCCCCTCCACCACCCACACCATTCCTGAAAATAAAAAAACCTTTTTCCTCATGAAAATTATGTAGAATTTCTTTTGCCTGCCATCCCAGGGTGGGGGAGGGGGGTCATGGGGTGGGAGCACCTAGGGGACAGAGCCCAGGGACAGGCAGCCAGCACCTTACCTCTGTCTTTTCCCCCATGGGTGTGCATGCTGCGGTGAGCGCAGTGGGTGGTGACCAGGGGTGACAGTGGCTGGCGATCCCCTTATGCGGGCGACTCCCCATCCAGCAGTTGGTGTACAAAGCCAGCAGGGTTGGTATGCAGCCCTGGCCCTACTGCAAGCAGCTCTGGCTCTGTGTCTGCATGGAGCTGGGGCAAGTAGCAAGCCTGGACCCAAGCAGGGGGGAACCAAAAATGGAGTGGGGGCCAGGGTTAGGGTTCCTGGCTCCTGGCTCCTGGACAGGGCACAGAACCTCCTCCCAGGCCCAAGTAGGGGCCTGCTGCTGGGTGGCTACTGGGGGACAGGCAGTGCTAGGGTCAGAGGCAGGGCAACGGATGGCATAAAGATGAGCACCAGCACCCGGTAATCATCATCCATGGCCTTCATCCAGGACCGCAGTCTGTTTCCACAGCACTTCCA